CTAACCGCAATTTGCAATCTTCCTTTGTCCCGTCTGAAAACGATTACACTCCCAATGAGGTTGTATCAGCATAGTGGCTGGTCATGAAAGAAACCAATCATAACCCAACATTAGACCTACTCCAAATAAAACTGAGTAAAGAACAAAATCATGATGATGAACTAATATTATTATATTGGAGAGCGAAAAGTAAACATATTGTATACAATGTAATATAAATTTTCTACAAAAATAACAAAACAAATGATCTAACAGAAAAGAAACTCATATTCTCAGAAATAAAATATACAACAGCATTACACGTTGACAAATGATATGTTTTTTTCTCATTTATTTACTTTTAGATCGCGTTACAGTAACCTCGACCTTGACGCCTGACACTGAGCTAGACGAAATGCCATCTCACTGACGTGACTAATCGGTTTTAAGGCTTACCTCTGGAATAGAAACGAAAATAGTATCTCGGTTTTCTTGTCTACAGTAGGGATAGATAGTTCAACTCAGTTGTGTGCGCGGCCCTATGTGTGCGTGGGCTTGTAAATATACAACTTTCATTCGTGTGGCAGTGACGCGGCAGTCGGACGACGACTGCCACACGAATGAAAGTTGTATATGTACAAGCCCACGCACACATAGGGCCGCGCGCACAACTGAGTTGAACTATCTATACTAACGCCAAGTTGAAGATAAAGCTGTAGAACAGTCATTCAATAATTCAGTGGATTATTAAAGGCTGTTGATGATTACGATGATGTATTTCAGTTCAGCAACGGCAAATTTTTACATAGAAACTTACTATGCATGAATTTTTTTCGGTATATATGAGAAAAAACACATATCCTAAGTTAAATTACGGGACGGAAGCATACAGGTACGATCAATTTCACGATACGACGCGATAAAAATACAAGTGTCTTTCCCCTTCGCCTCCCATAACTTTAACAATTGATTCCTGACGGAATACTCTCCGCTTTTGTCAAGTGTTTGCGATTTTTTTTTAGTATAACGAAGTGTGAAGCATTGGGGTTAGTTTGTGAAAGTTAGCGGAACTTTGTCGAGTACAAGACATCGAAAATGTTTTAAGTTTTGCTGATGTAGGGAAGTTTAGTATGTTGTCCTGTATAAATAGTGAAAATCGAAACTTTGAATTTATTAAACACTCGTAGTTGCGTTTTTAGTCACAGCTCTACCTTTTAATCATGTTGGGTTTTACACCCAATGTATCATCATCATCATCATCATCATCAGCCTATCGTAGTCCACTACTGGACATAGGCTTCTCACATTGCACGCCACTTAGATCGATTTTGGGCTTCTCGCTTAACTTTTACAATTGATTAAATGTAAATAGGAAAAATAATTTTCTTCGTCTTTTTTGTTTCTGATTTTTTAATATTTTAATCAGTTGTACTGATTTTCGGATCGAAGACTAATCCACAATTTCCAACATCTTAAAATCGGTTTTTTTTTTTCGTGCGGAAATCCCCTCGGATACCACGTGGTATGTCGAACTCGAACCGACTAAAACCGCACGCCGTCTCATGTACTAAGAGCCGGGAACCAGGTATACCCTAGAAAGGAAGTCCCTGGTGCCCCGACATACCTCGGGCCATCTACAACAAGTAGACGACCCCCCCCCCCCCCCCCCCGTGTGGGAACCCCATGTTCCCTCTGCTCCCTGGAAGCGAGCGCGCTTCGCAACGCGCTCGCCGGCACCCCGGCCTGCTTCTGCTAGGGTGACAGATGGCCTCACCTGTCACCCCCAGGCCTGCTCTTATGGAGGACGGAGGTCGTTGGCTCCGGCGCCTGAGTCGCCTGCAGTACCTGGCCTGTTCCCTCCGCCGTCTCCTTCGCGAGCATAACTTGCTCGCAGAAGGAGACGGCAGAGTACCACGCACTCTCGCTCCGCACGATAGACGCAATCAGGCTATCGAGCGAGAGAACTCCCACTCCGATGGCCGCCACGAGGTCTCGCCTCTGCTCAACCCACGCCGGGCACTCAGCCAGCGTTTGCCAGGACAAATATTGTGTGATGAGCAAGGTAATTTGTTCTGTGTCTGGGTGTAATTTATCTATAATATGTATCTATTTAAAAATATATAAGTATGTTTATCAGCAGTCTGGTTACCATAGTACAGACTCTGCCTAGTTTGGGATGAGACCGCCGTATGTGAGATGTGTGAGATATACATACATCGCACCAAATACGATTGTATTGTATAAATAACCGGATGTACCAGAATATTACATTTACTGTTTGTCTAATATTTGTAACAAAATCGTTGTACCTTTTTAAGTATTTCATAGTTAAGTACTTATAGGTTAGTAATTTATTAAAAAGTAATTATTTTTCTTTTCAGGTAAGTTTGAATTTCTCAAAAGCTACCAAAGAACAGAAATTATAGAAAAAAGTCTTCAATAAGGTTGGTAATTCTTCAAATTTCTCAAACACTTGTTTTTTAATTCTCATCCCTTGAGGGCTCGGGTTGGCGAGGGCAAAGAACCGACCCATTATTTAATATTTGACGTTTTGAAAATACTTTCTAAAGGTCACTAACTTACTTATGTATATATTATATTATTTTTGTAGTACTTGAGTACTTATTTGAGAAGCCCTTAACTTCCTTGCGACCGCTTTTTTCATGTAAGATCTACTACTTTATTTTTGCAACAACTAGAAACTTTGGTATTCCGACAATTTTAGATGCTTATTAATTGGATTGCCCAAAATAAAGAACTTACAATAAATCTTTAAATAAGAATATACATATTTTTTTATCCTGGACCTTTGGAAACTGGCCCTCTGGAAACCATCACCGGGGCTCACGATGTGTCGGAATCGAACCAACTAAAGTTACGTCCCATGAAAGCATGCTACTTCAAAGGACTCGGAAGCAAGCAAGTTCCCGAGAGCCCCGCGCAGGCCTTGGACATCTTATAAAGATATTTAACACGTGTACATTTCGAAACACAATCGATCCATTAAACCTTTATAATATTTAAAAACTTATTATTTCATCCAGTAATTGAAACTTTATAAAAGTCATCAATCAATCAAACATCAACAGCTCCTAACAGTCCACTGCTGAACATAGGCCTCTACTTACAATGGAGGTTTTGGCCTACTATACAACGCTGGCCATACGGGTTGGTATAGGGTTAGTTTCAAGTTTTCCTTCTTTTTGCAGTGCTATTGTTTTGCTCCCTTAATCGGCTCTTACGACACCCACGTGATAAACACCCACACGGATAGATTTATATAAAAAATAAAAAAAAAGCTTAAATGCATCTAAAAGAAGTCACCTATCCTCACAGAAAATTGATATTAAACAATTATTTCGTTCCTTTTCACCAAGTGGACGTCACTTGGTGAAAAGGACCTCCTAGATCGAGAAGGTTACTGAAACGGTGACAACACACTTATAGCTTTTCAGGTGCAGGTTTCCACGGCGGTATAGATAGTTCAACTCAGTTGTGCGCGCGGCCCTATGTGTGCGTGGGCTTGTAAATATACAACTTTCATTCCTTAAACACACCTACTTAAATTTAGGTTTTGAAGGGGGTCCGTAGCTGTAGAGGGAACCGGTCGTGACGATGAGCCGGTTTAAGTCACCGTCAACTTTGAGTTCATTCAACATGAGAGAGTCGGAACTAGTATTGATAATGATCTAGGTTTTGAAGAAAAACCTAAATTTAAGTAGGTGTAAAATGGCTCCACAAGAAAAAATTAAATTTAATGTTTAATGGAAAAATCTTAAACTAGAAAAAGAATAGTGTGTTTGATTCCTACTAGAATTCTTAAAAATCAACAGCATGTTGGTCTAGTGGATGGTTGATTTCCGCATTTAGACTCAAGAGTGGTCCTTTATGCGTCGAGGACTGGTTAGATAGGTGAGCCAACCAAGCTCCTTCCAGAAGTGCAGAAGCCTCCTTGGAAGTTCATCAGCTCTTTTAACGATTAGAAATAGTTAAAGCCATTTCAGACTTTTGGGTATTTTTAAGGTATGATTATTCTACTGTTAATTTACACTTGTCGTCTTTGGCTCAATTGTGGTCTCCCTTAATAGTATATCTCATTTGCAATCTATCGTGTGTTCTTTTAATCCATACTGTTCATATTAATATTATAAATGCGAAAGTGTGACTGTCTGTCTGTTACCACTTCACGCTTAAACCGCTGAAACAATTTAGATGAAAATTGGTATGAAGATACTTTGATTCTTAAGGAAAGATAAAACGGCGGTAGCCAAGTGGTTAAGGCTTTGGACTTGCGATCAAGAGGTCGTGGGTTCGCATCCTGACCAGTACACTACCGACGTGAACCCACTCCTAACACAGGCAATTTAGCTTAGCGGAGTGGTTTAGCGGGAATACTAGTAATTTCGGTTGCTAGTAAACCTTAAAAAAAAGAAAAGAAAGAAGAAAAAAATACATAGGCTACTTTTTACCGCGATTACCGATACCTACGAGGGCGGAGCTGCGTGCAAAAGCTAGTATTACAATATATTTTCTTGCTAGTTCTCAATACGTAATCAGAAAAGTATATATCTATACACAATGTAACAAAAGTAAGCCATTAGGAGATGTCTGTACACTCGACAGTTTCATTGCGTTAACAATGTTCAGGCCGACAGCTCAAATTGACATACAGTAGAACTCCAATTATCCGAATTAATGGGGACCGGGACCCATTCGGATAATCAAATATTCGGATAATCGGATTTTTTTTAAAAAAAATGCCATTGGAGAGAATAAAAGCTACGTTTTGATATTGCACTATTTTTTTATTGAATTAAATGAAAGAAACATGAAATTTTCACATGTTTTAAATATAAATAAAATGTACATATGTACAAGTTTAGAAATTAAAATCATTGTTTTTTAAACATCTCCGTCAATGTAAGCTGTTTTGCGGTCTTCAACCGTTTTCGGGCAGCCAGGTCACGCATTCGCTTGACGGTGAGCAGTTGCAAGTGGTCACACTCGGGCTGACGCTCCATTCACTTCAAAGCAGTCTCGAGGCCGGCAAATGCTTCACTAGCTGATGGTCCAGCGTCTACTTCAACATCAGCAGAAAGTTCTTCTTCCACTTCCACTTCAACATCTTCTCTCACACTTACAACAATTTCATCGTCATTGAGAATTTGAAAACCAGGGTCAGACGTGTCACAAGCCATCCACTCTCCTACATCTTCAGCACTTACTTCTGTACAACCAGGAATTTTTACAATCATTTTTCTTATTTCCTCTAGTGACAACGCATCTTTATCATCATCATCCTCTCCATATTCTTGTTTCTCATTTTCTTCAGATTCTTTTTTTTTTGTTCTTCTCAGACGGTAGGCCTTTCAGTTTATTCCACGCACGTCTTAGCGTCACTGCCGTAACCAAACTCCAAGCTTCCGCTACCATGTAACAGCAGTCCTTTAAATTTATTTTGCTATGATTTGCCAAAACCAATTCTTCATCTTCAGCACCTTCGATCAGCAGTTTTCTCAGCAGTTGCCTTCTGTAATGGCGCTTCATTGTTTCAATAACAGACTGGTCCATGGGTTGCAGCAAACTTGTAACATTGGGAGGCAAAAACGTCGTTTTAAACTGCCCATTCTCTCTTTCCAACAGTTCTGCTGTAGGATGAGTGGGTGCGTTATCAACAATTAAAAGCACCTTACTGCCTTCTTTTCCCACCGATTTTTGGTGCTTTTTCACTTCAGGAATAAACACTTCATCATACCATTCGGTAAACAAAGCTGCAGTCATCCAGGCCTTGGGTTGACTTTTGTAGAAGAGTGGAATTTTTTTTACGTTTTTAAATGCTCTTGGATTTCTTGATTTTCCTATCAAAAGAAGTGGCAGTTTATGATTTCCAGTGGAGTTGGCACAGTTAAGCACTGTAACACGTTCTTTACTGACCTTATGTCCAGGGGCACTAGATTCCCTTTTAGAAGCCAAAGTGGTTTTTGGTAATGCTTTCCAAACAAGGCCAGTTTCATCGGCATTATAAACAAACTCCGGATCATAGGATTCTGATGCAGTTTTAAATTTTTCAATAAAATTTTCAGCAGCTGCAGAGTCTGCTGAAAGCTTCTCACCAGCCAAATCTAACTCGCGTACACCATGCCTGAATTTAAAATTCCTTAGCCAGCCGTTACTAGCCTTAAAAGATGAATAACCAAGCTTTTCTGCTAAGATTTTGGCTTTTTCACAAAGGATTGGACCTAAAATCGGATTTCCCATAGAACGTTGCTGCAAAAACCATTTAAACACGGCATCTTCCAAATTTTTGTTGGTTGCTGTCTTCATTGTTTTCCTGGAGGAACTTCCATCTTCATTTTCAAGCACCGAAACAAAGTTTAAAAGTGTTGACTTACTGTTTTTAATGTCAGAAATTGTTGCTTGTCCAACACCATAAATCTCAGACAACTTCTTACCCGTTACACCTTTATCGAGTTGCTCTATAATTTTCAGTTTGTCCGCTAACGATAGCACAACACGTTTTCTTTTCGAAGCCATGATATAAAAACAATACAGTATTGTACATGCACAAACAAAAGTAAGCCGTAGCGAAAGAGTAGCGTCTTCGAGCAAGGTCAATAGCACACTGGCTAATCAAAACAAACAATGACAGGTGCGCCGTGACTGCAATGCGCCGGAACTTGTCTTAACTTGCCGTTGTGCCTACACACGCTGGGGGAAGTCAGTGTAGGCACAACGGCAAGTTAAGACAAGTCAAGTCAAGACTTGACGCGCAAACACTGGCTTCGCGGGGGGAAGAATAATAGCGCACTTAGACTTTTTTTGGACAATTTTTTGTGATTCGGATAATCGGCGATTCGGATAGTCGGAGTTCGGATAATTGGAGTTCTACTGTATTTGAACCGCACCTACTGTGATAGCTGACGTCGATATAGCGATGACAGTTTTTTACGCGAGGGAACCGTGTGAGGTGTCGGAGTGATGATATTTTTTTCGTTTTTTTTTTTGTTTGGAATTCACGATTAGCGGTAGCCACGCCGCTTCCTACTACGCCGAGTGTTGTGGGTTCAAACCCCACATGGGACGACACTTTGTGTTACCCACAAATTGTTGTTCTGAGTCTGGGTGTTCTTTGTGTCCGTTTCATGTATGTTTGTAAAGTCCCCTGCGACCCAGGATATAGGAATATATAATATGCGGGCGTTGACTTTAAAAAAATATATATTTTGTGGTTCGTGACTGTTGTTCGTATATATATAATTTATTTATTGAGTCTTCCTGCAAACATATTGCAAAAGGCGGACTTAATGTCTCAGGCATTTTCTTCCAGTCAAACCTTTGGGTGTTGCAAAGCTGTGTGTGGCAGGTGTATTTTTGGGACAGGTAAAGACGAGTCTGAATTAAGAAATGTTACAGTGGCAGAAAAGAAAACATCCTACAGATATATAAGTACTAGGTATACAACTAGGCATACAATATATTGCTAGTATACCTAAAGTAAAATCGCCCGTGCCGTTGCCCGTGTCAAAATCTAGTATCTGATATGTATGATAATTACGGTGGACAAATTATTTACTTTAATGTAGTAGTGTAAGAATAGTAAATTATATAATCAAAGCAATAAACTAAAGGACAATTTACTAAAAGTTTATAAATTACTACAGTTTTATATCTAATTTTCTTTATATCTAATCTATTTTATATAAAATTTACATTGTGACTTGATTTACATTGCAGTACTCGAGAATTTTATTAGAAAATTTATTCCTAAAATTTCTAATTTAGTTAAAATACTGATGTACCTGCCATCTATTAAACACTGGTTGAACTAAATAGCGCGCCACCTATAAGGAATTTGGTATAGTTTAAAAATACAAGAAAATTTTAAAGCAGAGCACGATACAAAGTTCGTAATGTTGCCAATAGGTGGCAAGTAAATCAAAAATACTTCCATGAAAAACGAGAAATCATATTCCTATAGTAATAAAGTGAGGCACTATCCACCTGTATAAAGAAACATGCTTTTAAATAATCTACAGTCAATGAACATCTTATTAAAGTCCCTAGATGCCCTTTAGTTTAAAAAGTTAAACTTTAAACTCTCAACGAATTCAATTAAACTGATCCAAGTTGCAGCCAAAGAAGTGTACCAAGTTATTCTCAGTAGATACTAATTAGGGCCAGATTATAACTTTGCCTCGCCAAGTCGTCTACTTGAGAACTTAGACATCCGTAGGTAATTATTACTTTATACTTACAACTATTTTTTAATGTAAAATTTTCCGAGAGGGCTAACTTCATACAGCCTAGAGCCAAGTTTCCAGATACATTTGGAATTTCTAATTGAATTGCAGTTTAACTACTGATGGATTTAATTGAAAATGCTTAAATGAAGTAAACTTGTTAGGTAAAATAAAAATTTCTGTAAAATCAACACAAAAAGATGAACTATTTTGGAATTGAGCGCCATCTATGTAAAATATGTTGTACTGTTTAGCCTATACCTTTATTCCGTGTGTCGTTAGGTTTGTTTCGTTCTATTGTTACTAGATGGCGCTCATTGAAGTTTACTCTCACTGTGCAATAGATGTCGCTACCAATAACTTGAAGCATCGGTAGACTTGTTCTCTACCCCGCGAGAGTCATGCTCCAGTACAAACGGGCTTTCTTGACTTTTATCCCACTGCGGGTTTCCGTGTGGTAACGGATTAAGAATACATAGTGTCACCACCCCTATTTATCCCGTGGGTGTCGTAAAAGACGACTAAAGGACCAAAGTACGCAGGAAAACAGAAGGAAAACTTGTCCAGCAGTGGACTATTAAAGGCTCTCGATGTGTGGGTATTCGGAGCCAAAAACCCCCTCTGTCATGACTCTAGGAGGAGGGACTCAAAGAGCGAAACGCAGTTCTGACTCTTCGACTCCTGTCGATGGGCCGCAGTAGTTACTTACTCATCACCAGATGAACCGTCTGCTCGTTTGCCCTCTTACACAATAAAAATAAAACAGAGGCACTCCGGGAGTGACGACAGCAGTGAAAACTTATATTTCATTTAAAACATAAATGTGACATAAAAGCCAAGTTCAACATAATTACTTGTTTCTTGGTGCTACCACAATATATTCTACTTAATAGGTAATATAATTTCTTTAATTTTAACAAAGAATTATTAAAAAAATGGAATTATTTCACTTAAGATGTAATACAAGCTCAAAATCTGACTCTGACTACCCAATAGTCTATGAGTCTACCTTGATACCAAATATCAAGTTTCTAGGTCATCTGGAAGCGGGTTAGGTTTTATCAGGACAGGATCTATAAGTCAGTGAGTCAGTGATAAAAATGCCGGATTTTAAACGTTAATAAATAAATAACTGTTCGAGCAAAAATGAAATTTTGGATTCTAGAAGATATTTAATAAATGTGATAAATTTCCCATATATGTAGTTACTACTTTATAATACCCTGTTACAAAAACTAATTGAAAGCTTAAAAAACAACACTACTACCCCAATCATCAATCATCATCAACAGCCTTTAATAGTCCACTGCTGGACATAAGCCTCTATTTAGAAAAGAGGTTTTGGCCTACTATACCACGCTGGCCAGACGGGTTGGTATAGGGTTTGTGTCAAGTTTTCCTTCTCTCTGCAGTGCTGTTGTCCTGCGTAGTTTTTTCCCTTAGTCGGCTCTTACGACACCCACGGGATGAATAGGGGTGGTGACACTCTGTATTCTTAATCCGTCACCACACGGACAGACAACTACCCCAATACTAAACAATAAACGTAATATAAATCCATGGAACGCGCCGGGAATATTACGTTGCATTAAGAATATAAACAAATTACAAGAACAAACACGCATGGAGCCACACAATGAAATAATTAAGATAACACGTACCAGATATAGAAACTACTATAATAAATTAATAAAGAAAATAAAACGAACATACGAAAAACAACTACTAAAAAAATCGCTAAAAAATAATAAATTTCTTTGGCAAAATATAAAAAACGTAACATATACAAATAAAACAAACAACACAAACTTTGAATTGTTAAATATTAAAATTAATAATTAAACCGAACATGTATATTATATGTGCTCATTACGCAATTTTTTGTCCTGAGCCGGAATCGACGCCGCGACCCTTGACTCAATAGGCAAATTTGCCACCTTGGAGCCAACTAGTCAGTTAGTCATATTGCAGCAATAGGCCGACTAAGCACTCTTTAACTATAAGCACATTAATTCAATATTCATTACTCAAATATTTATTTCATTAACAGCCTTTAATAGTGAACTGCTGAACATAGGCATCTAAGGAGATCCTTAGAAAGGAGGTTTTGACCTTGGGTTTGGGTAATTCTTTACTATGAAATTTTACAAAATAATACTCACCTACCAACTTAAGACTTGCAGACTAACACTAATAATAATAATATGCGTGTGTACATATGTGTGTATGTGTATGAGTGTAAAATATATGTGAGTGGGTAAACTGTAATGGGTAAATAGTATAGGTATCCTATAAATAAATAAATAGTGAAATGGTTTTTGAGTTGTGAAGGGGTCAGAAGTAGCTCGAAATGGTTCATGTAATCTTCCACACGTCTGCTGCGTCGCCAGTTCCTTTGCTTTGAAGTTGGTTGAACACACTGCACGCTACTTATAAACAGAGGTGTCGGTAACGTGTCGCGAGTTCAATTGTTTTTTCCCATCTCCAACGGGCCTAAAAAAGTTTTCACTTCAACAGAGGTGTCGGCAACGGTAACAGTTTCGAGAGTTCAATGGTTTTCCCATCTCAAAAAATGAGTTTTTTACTAAACCATAAAATACATTCTTTTGTTTGTTATTCAAAAATGCCCAACGCGCCTAAATTAGTTTTTACTTAAAAAAAAAAAAAAACAAATGCGAACTACGTAACACACGGAATTGGGAATATTGTTTAGCCTTTTCGATTACAGTACACTTTGTCTTTAATCTTGTTGTTACAGATATACGACTGAAAACAAGAAATACATATAAGACAGTCCCACATATAAGAAACAAGGAACCTACATATAATATGTAAATAATTGGCAGAACAAAGACATTATACACTTCTGTTACACACAAAGAGATCGACATCAAAAGGTTAAATTATATTAAAACGAAACAAGTGCTGCCTACAATGTAATGTGCGTTTTTTTTAAATAAAAATAATGTAAAAACGAATTTCAAAAAGATTTTCAATGGGCGTTTCTATCGTTTATTGCGATAGGCTTGTAATACAGATATACATTTTGATGCCTACAAATATATGAGATCATTAATCATCAATCGTCTTAATAAAACTCAAGTTAGCCAATATAGGTACGATTAAATTCTAAGAGTACCTTTTTAGGCAATTGGCAGAATCAATTGTTGCCTGTAGCTGAACATTTAATGTTGTAATACAATTTGTATGCGTATAAATGTACATATTTTTTGTGTACGTTTTTATTTATACTTAAATGTTTAAATTAAAGCAATTTTATAATTTTATATGCAT